AAGCTAGGCCTGAGCAGGTATTCCAGAGCAGTGACCCAGGGCGGGGACTGTGGGACAGCCCGAGGTTGGCACCCCTGGGGGTCTGCCCTCTGCTGGCCAGAACAGGAGGGACAAGCAGCAGACCTGTGGAGCTGCTCACACATCAGGGATGGCTGATTCCTTTGAACCTTAACCCTTGAACCGCTCCACCTTCAAATCTGTGCTCCGCTATTTCCTCTTCAGGCTTTGGGCATGGCAGCCTCAGGTCAGCCCTCAAATTCTACACCGAAGCTGGTCTTCCTATGGTCTTTCTAGCCAGCCTGCACCCCTGCAGGTGGCTCTTTATGTCCTGTGCGGCCCAGCCCCGGGGACCTGCCATACCTGCTCTTTGTTCAAACATCAAGCCAAAGGCGGGCAGTCCAGGAACAGTCACCACCTTGCCAGGACCACCCAGCCCTCCTGCTGGGCCACAAGGTGAGGAAGGGCCCAGCACCTTGGTGTTGCCTCTTGCCCAGCATGACATCTCATGGCACCCAGGCCTCCTCCTGCCCCTCCAAGGGCCACCCACCTCAGGACTGCAACATGAAGTAGTGAGTGTCCAGCCAGTTAGCCACAGGAAATGGAGAGCCCCTCAGCAAGAACAGGCTGGGGAAGGCGGGAGGGAAGGCCCTGGGGACTGCCAGGATGGACGGATTAACACATTTAAAGAGCAGCTTCGAAAGCCCAGCCCTACAGGGGCCTGAGCTGGTCTGCGGGCTTTTCTTCTTCAGAGACAGCACCTGCAGGCAGACCTCCGCCCCATCTCCGTCCCGCGACCACCTCCCGGGACGGTCAGCGCGGCAGGGTGGGGGCCCCCCTAGGTGGCGGAGCTCAGGGTCCGAGAGTTTCCTTCTGTTCCTCCCTCCCCGCATCCTGACCCGCGGCTGGCGGCGACAGGACGCGGCGCCCCGCAGGTGAGCGCTGTAAACACCTGCGCGTCGCGTGTCCCTCGCTGCGGGCACGGGCACGGCCCCGCGCCCGCAGAGACCCCCTCCCGGCGGGAAGGGGGGGAACTGCCAGGTGCG